TTCTGTAGGCAGGAGCTGAGTTGGGGGGCTGAGCAGCTCTGCTCCCGGTGTCAGGGAGGGAAGGGGCCTGTCCCCGGAAGCAGAGGCCAGGGAGGGCTCAGGTCCAGGTGAGACCCCGGGGTGCCTGCGGCTCCGGTGCAGCGGCAAGGCAAAAGGCACCCTCCCGTAACCGAACATGCCAGGCTTGATGGGCTCTCGAACCCAGGACCTAGGAGGTGTGGCGGTTGTGAGGTCACAGCGCTGCCCATCCCTGGCCCTTCTCCTGGCACCCAGGGTCAGACCAGGCCCTCCACTCCCCTTCCCTTCCCCAAGCCCATTCCCCTGAGCCTCACCTGCGGGCCTCCTGGGGCTCCTCTCTCCCCACTGGAGAAGCAGGACCCCGCAGTGGGCTGCCCCTCCCCCGAGGCTGCGTCCCGTCTCGGGAAGACTGAGGTCTGGGGCTCTGACCCTGGGGGCGGGGGGCTTCTGGGTGTCGCGGGGGCCTGGGAGGCAGGGCCAGGCCTGGGGGCAGTCGACACATCCGGCTTCTGCGCTGCACCCCCACCCCGCAGGGCTGGGAGCAAGGGCCCCACTGGTCCCAAGGTCCCCAGACTCCCTCAGGGACCCAGCCCTCCTCTGGGGGTGTCTGAAGAGCAATTCCAGACAAGACCTACATGGAAAGAGAGGGCGGACCGAAATAGAAGATGGGAGGGACGGCGCAAAGCAGCCACGCTGGAGCGGAGCTAGAGCTCGCTGTCTGTGCGATCTCTCCAGCAGTTAGGGCTGCAGGGGAGGGCGGGAGGGCCCAGCGTGTGGATGGGGCCGGGCTCAGCAGAGGCTGCGGGAGAGGTGGGTGAGGGGTAGAGAAGCGGAGGGGACCCAGGCTCACCTCCTGGTCCAGGCAGCGCTGAGGGAGAGACAGAAGCAGCACCAGACACAGCCAGGGCCTGCAAGGCAAAGGAGGGGCCGTAAAAGCCTGCTGGAGGTGTTGTGTGACCCCTCGGGCTCCTCACGTCCTGGTTCTCCGCAGGCAGAAGGGCCTGGCCCTTGCCATCCACCCAGACTTCCGGGCAGCCCCTCCTCTCACCTGCTGGGCCACTTCTCCATCACTGTGCCCAGAAGCAGCTACTCTGGCATCTGGGCGTGGAGGGCTGCACTGCAGGGACAGAAGCCTGGTGGTTACCTCAGAAGAGCTGGGGCCGGTGGGTGGGGTGATCCTAAGGGACCCTCGGGAGGGAGCGGGGCGGTGCTGACCTCAGCCTCCAAGCTCCCGGCTGGGTCCCCTCCCTTTGGTGCTGTGGGGACTCAGCTCTGCCCCTGTCCCAAGTGGGGTTGCTAGCTGGCCGGGCTTGGGCCACTCTGAGGCTTCCTTCTGACTCTCCCTGCACCCCCCAGAGCTCCCTGGAAAGCGGAGGAGGCAGCTCAGGTTGGGAGGACCAGATAACCTTGCAGCCTGATGGCTGCCCTAGAACCAAGACCTCTCCCAACCTTCTGTTTCCTGCTTGCCACCAGCCATCTCTTCCCTCCCTAGCTGAGCTCAGTACAGAAGGAAGAGTCAGGGACATCTCAGCCTGCCTCACACACTTTTTTGGCTAAATGGATCCATGGCTTCATCTATAGAGAAAAAGCAGGTGATTTAACCTCCCCCTGGGTGCCAGCAGCCCCCTGGCATTAGCTCTATCAGAGTCTCTTTTCTCCCCCTTTCCTCCCTCCCTCCCTTCCTCTGTGCCTCCTCCGGGGCCTCCCCTTTCTCATGACTGGTGAATGAAACCAGGCAGGCATGGTGGTGCACACCTGTAATCCCAGCGCTCAGGAGAGTCACCGAGAGTTTGAGGCCAGCCTGGGCTACATAGTCAATTCAAGACCAACCTGAATTACAAAACAAGACCCTGTCTCAAAATAAATAAATGAATAAATAAAAATTTTTTAAATTAAAAGGAAAAAAGAAACCAGGGCCTTTGCACTGAACTACATATAGCCTCAAACTTTTTTTTTTTTTTTTTTT